ATATTCCTTAATGGTTTAAGATAATGAGAGAGAAGAATCCTGTCTCCTGTGTGGTGAAAAAATAATGTTATGCTGATTTCACTTTCTTTCATATTGCCTTTCCCTCCTGTCAAATTATACTACTATAAAAAACAAAATATAATTGCATTTTCTAATGACTTCTGAGAATTCAAACATAGCTGTGAAATAAAACATGGTTAGTTTAAAAGAGACACAGCAGATCAAAGTAATTATAATGACTGTGGAAAAATGTATTGACATTCTATTCATTTTAATTTTCGTGTTAGTGTGAGTCCTTTTCCTTGTGGAATTGAAGGCTGACCCAAGAAGTGCAGGTTCATGACTGTCAGAAGAAAAAGAAGCTGAGTCAGTCTCCTGGCTGTCAGTGTTGGGAAAACTTGATTTTCTCCCAAGAAAAGTGTGTTTAAAGTCAATTTGATCTCCGTAGTGTAGGGAGAGGCATCATATGAATTGAAACATCTTTTGTAGTGCAAATTTTTGGTGTTCCACTAATGAAAACAACATTTCTTGGTGCTGCAATATTTATACTCTGATTTGTCCAGAACTGAAGCAGGAGAGGTTTGCTGATGTTTAATGTGGGTTTTTATTTGTTTGTTTTATGGCTATCAGATGACAAGGTAAGTGTTGTGGTAATCAGTTGCAGTTTACTACAAGAAGATGCTGAATGATGCAGTCTGTCTTTGTATGTATTAAAACAAGGAATTGAAAAGGCTATTGAAAAATAGGCAGATAAAATAATACTGATGAAGTAATGCTTTTCTTTGTGTATATATACACATATATTAACATGATTTATGTCTATATGTCTTATTGATATAATAGTAAATTGGAATACTTGAAAATTAAGGAAGAAATCTTTATTTTACCCAAGTCTTGACATCCTGTCTTGCCCGCTGGCAAGACAGAATGGTTTATAATTGAAAACTAAACTTCCTTGTGTGCGTGCACATGAATTTGATGACTGCTAAATTACTTTCCTTAAGTTCTGGGACATGTAATACAGGAAACAGTCTTCCTCCTTGGACTTGTCTTTGTTTGATCTTAAGCCTCTGTCGTCTGTGCTTTTACACCGTATCTATCTACTGATGCTTACTTACCTCTGAAAAATTATTTAATTCTCCACAGAAACAGAACTTGTTGTGTTCTCTCTTCTCCTGCCCCTTCTTTTATGTCCCCTTGGTCTCTCTTTATGCCTTCCACTGCATCTCCTCTTCCTTTCAGAAGTCTTCCTATGTCTTCCACATTCACACAGTACCTGTGATACCAGGTACTACATCCATCTGGAGACCTGAAAATCTTGACTTCTTCCTTCAGGTGTGACTAATCAAAGGTGGAAGCATCATCATCCAGTGTCTTATTCCATGTGGAGTTAAAAGAATTTACTCTTAATAAGCAATGACCAATTCTATTCTTGGATGAGATACAGATTACTTATGACCTAGAACAGAGAAACATGGGCTCATCTCATAGCCTGCAGGAGACAACAGTGGAAGAAATGGTAATGGGTTAGAACATAACAGTAATATTTCTGTGATATACAGGATGAAAAGGAAAACGTGTTTTTGACATCATGCTACATACCGAGTATGTATTCACTACCAGTGGGACTCTTGCATACTTTTTTATAATGTGACTTCTGGTTTTGTCCGCTGAGAAATGCAGGCTCTGTGTTTACTCACATCTGTGAATGTGGTGCTATTTATAGTATATAAATATATAGAGACAAATATTTGTACAGCTATAGTATATTCCCATGACTTTAGTATTGGTGGAGTCAGTTGGAATGAACTAAGTGTCTGCCAAACTGTTAATCACCCTCAAGCTAAGAGCTTGTTGAAATCTAAAGAATGTACTTTAGGTAGACTTATTTGGACCACAGGCCACCATGACTTCTTTTGTCTATTCTCATACATAAAGCTATATTGGCATTTTTGGGGGTATCCGGAATGGCACCAACTCCTTTAGAGAGCAATGTTTTAAACAAGAGAGGTGAATTAACTACCAGCAATGCTGAAAAGGCAGAGATTCTCAACACTTTCTTCATAGCTGTCTTTACCAGTGCTGTTGGGCCCCAGACCTCGGGAGCAAAAATCCAAATCAATGCAAACACAGACCACCATCACTGAAGAGAGAGATGGTATGCAAACTGTTCGAGCAGTTTGACCCCTACAAATTGATGGGCCCAGGTGATGTCCACCTGAGGGTGTGGGCTGATGTCATTGCTTGGCCACTCTCCATAATCTTTGAGAAGTTGTGGAGACTGGAGAATGTCACACAAGACTGGATGGAAGAAGACTAATGCCACAGTATCAGTAGATGTAGGGGCTTAAAGGAGGACACAGTAAATTTTAGGCTTGTCAGTCTTACATCAGTTCCTGGGAAAGTTACAGAACGAATCCTCCTGGGGCCTGTCACAAGTCAAATGAAGCACATCCACCAGGGGCACAGATTCACCAAGGGTGAATTATGCCTGACAAACCTGATCACTTTCTATGGCAATGTAACCTGCTTGGTTGATGCGGGGCAAATGGTGGTCATTGTCTACCTGGATTTATCCAAGCCTTTTTATGTAGTTTCCTAGAGCCTCATTCTAGAGAAACTGACACTTTATTGTCTAGAAGAGTGGTCTGTGCAGTGGGTGGGGGATGGGCTGGCAACCCGCATCCAAAGGGTGGTGGTAAATAGTTCCTTTTCAAACTGGCAATCTGTCACAAGTGGGTTCCTCCAGGGATCAATACTAGGCCCAATGATGTCTAGTATCTTCCTAAGTGATCCGGATGATGGGATCAAATGAACCCTGATGAAGTTTGCTGGTAATACCAAACGGAGTGGGTAAGTGGACACTTTGGAAGGGAGAGCCACCCTGCAGAAAGACCTAGACCATCTGGAAGAGTGGGATAACAAGAACCTTATGAAGTTCACCAAGGACAAAGGTGAGGTCTTACACCTGGGAAAACATAATGCAGGAGTTCAGCACAGGCTAGGATCTGTCTGGCTGGAGAGCAGTTCTATGAAAAGGGACCTGTGGGTCCTGGGGGGCAACAAGCTCAATATCAGTGAACAGTGTGCTGCAGCAGCAGAGACAGCCAGCAAGATGCTGGATGTATCAGCAAAGGCATCACCATCAGAGACAATGAAGTCATCATCGCACTCTACTCACTACTTGTTGGGCCACACTTGGAATATTTTGTTCAGTTTTTGTCCCTGCTGTACAAAAAAAAAAAGATGTGGACAGGCAGGAGAGGGTCGAGAGAAGGGCCGCAAAGGTGATCAAAAAACTGGGAAGCTGCTGTGTGAGGAAAGTCTGAGAGAAGTGAGTTTTTTCAGCCTTGAGAAAGGAGGGCTCAGGGGGAGACCTTATCAACACATGTGACTATTTAAAGAGTGGGTAGAAAGGAGATAGAGACTCTTTTTTTACAAGGAGTCACACAGAAAATATGAAGAGTAAGGGGCACAAGTTACTCCAGGCAATTTCTGATTAGACACAAGAGAAAAAATTTCACAGTTGAGAGCAATCAAACATTGGGAATAATCTCCCAAGAGAATTGCTAGATTCCCTGTCGTGGTTTGACCCTGGCTGCCAGCCAGGTACCCACACAGCCATTCTCTAACTCCCCCTTCTCTACTAGACAAGGGGAGAAAATATTTCAAAGGGCTCAAAGTTTGAGACAAGGACAGGGAGATCTCTTGCATTTACCATCCCAGGCAAAACAGATTTGATT